TCGATGGGGACCACTGTATTTGGATACCACTGCCCTCAGCTCACTTGTTCCACTTGACTCAGAACACAAATAAAAATATCAGAGTCAGTCACCTCCACAATTTGCAGGCTGTTGGTGGGACAGGGTGAGATTGCACAAAAAGTTAAAAATTAATCTCCAGAATCAAATTCAGTAAATATACAAAATGACACTCTCAAGACGTCTGTAAGACACATTCAGAAATGTACAGAGGAGAAGAAACTGATAGAAGGTCAGAAGAGTTTAAAATGGTTGCATGCTAAACAACATTTTATAAGCATAAACAGATAATTTAGTGAAATGGTGCTAGGTTTTCAAAATATAAATGATCCCGCACTGTTTGGTTTTCTGAAGGTCAATAGCACAACTAGCTACATTTGTATTTCACTTCAATTGTTAAATTATGTTCTTTAAATGGCTAACCTGCAACTTGTTAACTAGCATCCATGTACTCAGAATACTCAAGGGTCCAAAAGCAAGCCTTCCTGTAATTTTGTGGTGTTAGCTAACCATCTCATGTTAACATAATTTTTAAAAAGGGTAAAAAAAAACTGTTCCTTTGCTTCAGCTGATTCTAAATTCTTGGACATATCAGAATCAGGAATTCAATAATGTAAAAAATACAATAATCACATCATGCTGCACGTTCCATTCAACAATGACACTCTAAGCCTATGGGATTAAGAAGTCAGGAGAAACTCAACCATCTGTGGACTCTGTAATGTTTAATGGATTCTCATCTCCTCAGAACTGGTTTTATGAATTGCTAATTGCATCTAAATTGAGTCATTACAATCATTCTGTATGGATTAATTAAGATGGGTTCGATGGACTCTCCCATCTGTGTCTTATGATACAAAAAACTGGAAAAGTGAAACACATTGCCAGGCAACACGCTGGGGTGCAGAGACTTGGACCATGTACCAGTATGTGGGATTGAGTTGTTTTACCTCACGGTGTTCTATTCTCCAGTAGATGGTAACATGTGACAGAAGAGAGAATGGAGTAGAGCTGCCAATGCCTGACAGATTTGGTGCATTGTAGTCTTCTGGGCGGTGCCATGGGGTTGCAAGGAAAATACTCTTCCTCACACTGATCTTTCTCACTTTACCAATCATCCAAAGGGGCCAGAGCAGTGCCATTCCATCACTTGCCTACAGACTTCTTGTCTAAATGTATTTTTTTCATTTTAATTTCCATTAAGTAGCATTCACATTCCCCTAACCACAATACACAGTGTTAAATGTTCCCCAATATCACCACCGTCCACCATCACAGTCTGTAAACAGGCGGTAAACTTTTCAAAAATTCTTTTTGAGTGTTGTTTTTAAGAAAAACTACAACAATATTTAATGCTTCCATTTCACCTTAAATTGCCACAGTCCTATCATTTTAAAAGGTTGCTTGTTTATGACATTCTGCATAAAGCCCATCATCTCACTCCTGTGCAAGTTCAAACTGGGCAGAGAGCATGTGATAACAATATTCATTAATAAGCTCTGAAATATCTGGTGGAGTCAACTCATTGTTGTGTCAATGTACAACTTAAGCAACATACAACCAATTATGGATATAGTCTAGTTAAGGTCACTAAGTTAGCAATACGTTGAAAGGCAGATAAAAACAAAAGGCCTAATGGCTTTCTCCTGTGCCTTGAAATTTTAGTGTTCACCCTCAGTAAAATGTTTCTTCGCCACTGTAAAAACTATGCTATTACTTAGAGAAAAACTTTACATAATAAAAATATAAACATAAAAGAACCACAGCACAAATATGCAGTATACAACTTGTAGATGTGACTTAATATGATCTGTTATAGATGCCATCTACACAGACCTTGGCTTTGCAGCAAAACATTTCAAATACAAACTCTCCACAGCAAGATAACTAAGAGCCAAAGGATGGTGTTCTTCTGCAAGCTCTTAACTGACGGAGAAAGATAATTCCACAACCAACATAACTCCTGACCATCATCCAGCTGTGAAACACAGAACAAATATACACAAAAATGTCAAGACAGCCAAGGGATTGATCTTATGACAAAAGATATAAAGATTGTTAACAATCACAATTGCTCAACCTACAACCTGTGTATTTATGAAAAGCAAGATATTTTCAGGATTTCCAAGGAGCTAGATTTTTTTTTTAAACTTCCAAATTCAGGAATGTTGCCTGCTGTTGACAGTCTTTTTTGAAATCCAATGTCTTGCACTTACTTTGTCATGATCTCCCAGTCCACTTCCATCAGGCTTGGCTCGAATGACAAACGGTGTGACCAGCTTTGACAGAATCTTTTGAAAACTGCAGCAAATCTTTGGAGAAACAATCTCAAAGCAATCCTGAAATCTCAGAATCTTATGCGCTTCATATTTCAGTTGTTTCCTGAGTCCTTCTCCAAGTTGAAGGATCAACATACTTGGGTCAAACATGAAGTGGAATGGGAAAGTTCTGCAGAAAGTAACAATGCTTATCTTTAGATCAGATGGAGAATGGGTTAAACCTTGTGGAAGTATTTTCATATCAGTTGTATCATTATATACTTTGATAATGAAGGTAAGACAATTATTCTGGTCTGTGCCAACTGAGGATAACTTTTCAGGGACATTGAGCACCTGCTCCACTGCAACTTCCAGCTGATAGATCTTCTGTGCTGCAGCTTTGATCAATCCAGGCATTGCAAATCCAACAACTTTGTGTGGATAAAAGTAATGAAGCATCAAAGTACCATCAGTTGAATCTTTGCATAGGAAAGAAGGGGACTCAAACCCATCATGTTTACTATTGGATGTTCTTGCATGTTCCAGTAAAGCATTAAACCCAACAAAAAAGTCCTGCAGTGTACTTCCAACTGCTCGCAGGACTCTTTCATTTTCTTCAAAACAAATGCAGAACAATTCCTCACCAAATTTTTCTCGCAGTTCTTCAATCTCCAAACCTGAGAAAGACAAATAGCTTTAATAATCAACAATACAAAATAATGTTACTTTTGTATTGCAATATGTCAGAATATGTGCACTGATGAACATAACTCAATGCCACACATTTCCAACCTAATTTTTTTAATGTCTTCTGTTTTAAGGAAAGAATCCTATTTTTATCAAATGTCAGTGCTGGAGAGCACAGTGTTCAAACTTACATTATATTACACATGACCTGTGCTTGATACTGATATTGCATAAACAGTTATATTTCACCTCAAAATACCTAAAGTGGATACTAGTCCAACAAAGTAATTTAAATTAGCCCCTGGTCCTGCAAACAGCCTATAATTCAATGTGATTTCTTCCCACTTCCCATGAGGTTGGTGGTTGAACCAGTTGTGGTGTCACATTTGCACCACCAAAATTCATTCACATAAACACTTTATCCTAACAGATGAAAAGTCTTAATTCAGTTGTTCCTAAATAGATTCAAAGCCAAATCCACTGTGTGAAATGCCATTTAAGGAACTGTAGCAACTAATTCAACATCTGTTTGTTTTGGCAGTCAAATAATTTCTGTTGGTTTACTTGTATGAATCAACCATATCATCTCTCATGACAGAACAGTTAAATAAGAAAAACGACAGCAAATTAAATTTAAGCCAACAGGTTCCCTGTACTCCGGGAAAATAGGCAACATGAAAACTTATTGAATTGCATCAAAATAATTCTGGATGGTGTTGAAAATGATTTAGATTGAGTATACTTGGTGGTTAGCAAGCCTAATCACTGCTAAACAAAGCACACATAATATTTGAACCTATAAACAAAAGCAGAATCCAAGAAAATCATACTTAAACTATAAAGTACTCTTAGTCTGATAACCAGACTTTGAGTACTGTGGACTAGTGACCGGTTATCAATGATAAAGCTTTTCAGCCTGTCAACACCATGTGATTAGTTCCCAGATGGTTCACATTCCCAAACTGTTGAGCAAGAGAGGGAGAAACTATCAGATCTCCACAGGCTGTCTGCAGTCGAAACACTTTAAGCCTGTAGAAAGCCAGTTAATTTTTCCTTTTGCAGTTGCTGTAAACTGTGACCTTTAATTAATAAGTCAAGTACCTTTTAGAAATGTAAACTAATCATCCTATTCCTCCTACACACAAGTAAAAGAATCCACAGAAGGAAGTGCAGGAAGCAGCACTCTGATAAGCAGAAGAACCATAACTGTAAACTCCTGTACACATTAACCACTGAACTGCCTTCCCATTCTTTCCCCATGCTCATAAAAACCATATATTTTCCTGTCTATATTTGTTGGTATATGTCAGTAACTGTGTGTATACAAGGGGGTTGGAGCTTTGACTACTGGCATTATATGCCAATGGTTCATAATTATTTATTTGTAGCTAGAGTGTAATTACTTATAATAAATAATAATTCCTGTTAAGTGTAGAAACCTGGTCTGTATTTTCTGACAACCTGGGGCTATAAAACAGGTGAATTGGGAATCTAAATCTTGAATCTTTGGGAATTGATTGATTTTGGCTTGATTTCCAGTGTGCTAACCCAGTGAAGCATAACAAAGTTTGGGGGCTTGTCCGGGATTAATTTGAAACAAAGGCAGCAAGTAATTGGGTGTGATATTAGTAAATATCACAGGTGAAGGAAAACATCAGGTTCTATACTGTATTTATGATATAATACTGGAAATGGCAAACATCCAGCAGGTGCAGAGTTCTTCCTGGCAGTCTTAAGGGAACTTTCAAAGAGAGGATTGATTGATTTGGTAAGTAAACTGGAAGTAGCGTTGCCTGGCAGATACAATCATTTAATTAATCTCATGGTATATGGATTTAGAGGAATTACAAGAGAGATTGCATATTCTGAGTAGTGAAACATCAGAATCAGATGATATTCAGTTGCAGTTAAAGTAGCTTCCAAATGAGGAGTGAAATGAGAAACTGGAGTTGAAATTCGAAAGGGAAGAAAAAGACAAGAAAGGAGAAATTGAATTAGGATAACAGGAAATGAAATTGAAATTAACGAAAGTTAGAAGACTAAAATTAGAAATACAAAGAGAAAGAGAAAAGGAGAAAGCATTAATAGCAGCTTAAAATTATGCAGTTGAAACAGGTAATGTCAGATGCTGATGCAGGCTCTGGTGAAGTTAAGTCATAATTTGAAGTTCACTTAGGAGCAGATTGTTTGCACAAGTCCAACCAAAACTTGTGGAAAAGGTTATGGATGTTTTCTTTATGTCATTGGAGAAATAGCTAGACAAAGGAATTGAGCAGAAGAGGACTGGACATTGTTCATGCAGAATACGATGACAACTAAAGCACAGAATATTTATTCTTCACAACAAAAAGACAATTCTTGGAATTCTGACACTGCAAAGAAAACTATATTGTCTGCATATTGCTAGTGCCTGAAGCATGCTGGGAAAGTTCCTGGAATGTAAGGAAACAACCTGGGCAAACCTATATTTATAGAATCCCTACAGTATGGAAGCAGGCCATTTAAGCCCATCGAATCCACACCGACTGTCCAAAGAGCATCCCAACCAGACTCAGACCTCTACCCTATCCCTGTAATCCTGTATTTCCCATGGGTAATCCACATAAACTACATGTCCCTGGACACCATGGGCAATTTAGCATGACCAATCTACCTAACCCGCACTTCTTTGGGCTGAGGGAGGAAACCAGAGCATGCAGAGGCAGCTCACAGAAATGCAGGGTGAATGTGCAAACTCCATATAGTCATCCAAGGGTGGAATCAAATGTAGGCCCTAGCACTCTGCGGCTGCAGTGCTAACCACTGAGCCACCGTGCCTTCCATTGATTTTATATTGATTTTAAGCTGTGAGCAAAGTAATTTTGACAGTGAATATGAGCATTTGAAGCTCTTAGAAAAATTATTCACTTAAAAGAATTTTAAAATTTTCTACAACCCCTATTGAGAACTAAAGGATTGCAATTGCTGTACAGGCAGAAATTATGGCTGATGATTATGAACTAATCCATAAAACTAAACACTTTTTCTGTGACCCTCATAAATTCCAAAGTTATAGAAAATGAAAGAATGAAAGGAAGAAAAGTACCAAGGTAAAAATGGATATGTTCCAAGGTCCTGTGCTCAGATGAGAAGGGAAAATATTAAGGCTGGAGGGGAAAATTGGATGCCAAGGTTTTTCCGTTGTAACAAGGTGAGACACATTCATTTAGAATGTTGGAAGTTGAGGGTGAAACCTTTGGAATTATTGGAGCTGGCAAAACTAAATCTAAAAAGAAAACTCAGAAGGGAAAGGTCACAAACTACATCTAAGAGACCGGGGTAAATACTGCTGTATTGGCAGAGGAAGTACACAGCATAGATAATTGATATGAAGGGTTTTTGTATAAGAGGGAAGATAAGTCCTTGTTCATCAAAGGAAGCATCCAAGCAATTAAGAATAACTAAGGATATAGAGGCTATTAAATCTCTCTTGCTGGAGAAGGATTTAGTCTTCCTAGAGTTCAATGAAAGCTAAAATATTAGTAAATGAGATAGGCAGTTCCATTGTACAAAGTCCAATTGCAGAATGACTTACTGTCTGGACTAGTGGTAGTCGGGGTAAATGTGAAAATACCTGGGGAGGATTTGATTTACTCTTGGGGAATGATTTAGCAAGAGTGATTGTCATAGTTTCACCTATAATCACAAAATCTAGTTGAGCTAAAGAGACAGAACAGTCACATGAACAGGTTCTGGATCTATTTCCATCATGTGTAGTGACCATAGCAATGGCTAAACAATGTGCATCACCAGAAGTCAGTAATACCATGAGTAGATGTTAAGGTTCCCAAAAGTCTCTTTAAGAATAAAGATAATTCAAAAGAAGTGTTTGGCATGTCTTCATTAACTGAGACTCAGGAAGCAGATCCAGGGTTACGTAAGTTAGCAAAGACAGCTCACATTGAAGCTGAGGCTGAAGGAGTTCCATAGTATTATTCTATTCACAACAGAATTCTGATGAGGAAATGGAGATATCCTCACAGACCTGTGAACGAAGAGTGGATACTTGTTCATCAAATAATGGTACTGCCCAGATATCATAAGGAGATATTGTGAGTAGCACAGAGAGTCATAGATTCAGACAGCATGGACACAGACCCTTTGGTCCAATCAGTCCATGCCAAACATAATCCCAAACTAACCTAGTTCCACCTGCTGGCTCCTGACATACATCCATCCAAACCTTTCCAATTCATGTATCTATTCAAATGTCTTTTAAACGTTGTAATTGTACTCACATCCACCACTTCCTCCGGAAGTTCATCCCACACGTGAAACACACTCTGCGTAAAAAATTTGCTTCTCATGTCTTTTTTAAATCTCTCTCCTCTTACCTTAAAATGTGCCCCCTCGCCTTCAAATTCCCTATACTAGGGAAAAGACAAATACCATTAACTCTATCTATACCTCTCATTATTTTATAAACTTCTATCAGGTCGCCTCTCAACCTCCTATGCTCCAGTGAAAACCGTCCCAGCCTATCCAGCCTTTCTTTATATCTCAAACCTTCCAACCCAGCAACATCTTGATAAATCTCTTCTGAATCCTCTCCAGCTTGATAGTATCCTTCCTACAACTGGATGACCAGAACTGGTCACAGTATTCCAGAAGAGGCCGCACCAATGTCCTGTACAACCTCAACATGACTTCCCAATTCCTATACTCAAAGGAGTGAGCAATGAAGATAAGCATGCCAAATGCCTTTTTAACCACCCTGTCTATACGTGACGCAAACTTCAAAGAATTATGTACCTGCACCACTAGGTCCCTCTGTTCTACAACACTATTCAAGCCCCTACCGTTAATTTTTAAGCCCTACCCTTGTTTGTTGTCCCAAAATGCAAAACCTCAGATTTATCCAGATTGAACTCCATCTGACATTTTTCAGCCCATTGACCCATTTGATCAAGATCCCTTTGTAATCTCAGAAAAACCTTCCTCACTGTCCCCTTTGCCACCTATTTTAGTGTCGCCCATAAACTTACTAACCATGCCTTCTATACTCTCATCCAAATCATTTATATAAATGACAGACAGAAGAGGACCCAGAACCAACCTCTATGGAACAATGCTGGTCACAGGCCTCCAGTTTGAAAAGCAACTCTCCGCTATTACTCTCTGTCTCCTGCCATTAAGCCAATTATGAATTCAGTTGGCAAGCTCCCCCTGAATCCCATGTGACCTAACTTTACTAATTAGTCTACCATGCGGAACCTTGTCAAAGGCTTTACTAAAGCCAAATAAACATTGCCATCATCAATCTTTTAGGTAACTTCCTCAAAAAAACTCAAGCAAGTTTGTGAGACACGATTTTCCTCACACAAAACCATGCTGACTATCACTAATCAATTCTTGCCTCTCTAAATGTCTATAAATCCTATCTTATATAATCACCTCCAAAAATTTATCCACAACCGAAGTCAGACTCACAGGTCTATAGTTCCCCGGTTTCTCCTTACAGCCTTTCTTAAACGAAGATACAACATTAGCCACCCTCCAGTAATGGGGCACCTCAACCGTAGTTATAGATGATACAAATATTTCTGCAAGGAGTCTCATAATTTCCTCCTTTACTTCCCACAACATTCTGGGACCATTAGATCAGGCCCCAGAGATTTATCCACCTTTATATTCTTTACGACCTCCAGAACTTCCTCTTCTGTAATGTGAACTGTTTTTAAAGCATCAAAGTTTATTTCTCTGCATTCTCTAGACACCATTTCTTTCTCCACAGTAAAAATTGACATGAAATATTCATTTAGTGTCTCTCCCATTCCTGGGATCCAACACAAAGACAACCTCCTTGATCTTTAAGAGGACCTCCCCTCTCTCTAGTTATCCTCTTGCTCTTAATGTATTTGTAGAATCTCTTTGGATTATCCTTAACCTTATCTGCCAATGCTATCTCATATCTCCTCTTTGCCTTCCTGATTTCTCTCTTAAGAATGCCCATACACCCTTTATATTGATTAAGAGATTCAATTGAACCGAGCTGTCTATATCCAAAATAAGGTTTGTTTTTATTCTTCAATACCTCAATCATCCATTGTTACTTAATCTTATCACCCCTACCCTTCAGTCTAACAGGAGCATAATGGCTCTGAATTCTCGTCATCACACCCTTGAATATCTCCCACTTGTCAGATGTCCTTTTACCTGCAAACAGTCAACTCCAATCAACTTTTGAAAGTTCTTATCTCATACCATTAAAATTTGCCTTACTCCAATTAAAAACTTTAACTTTTATGGAAGGCTTATCCTTTTCCATTATCATTTTGAAATTAATAGAATTATGATCGCTAGACCCAAAGTGTTCCTTCACTTTTACTTCAGTCACCTGCCCTGCCTTATCGCCCAAAAGGAGGTCTAATTTTGCTTCTTCTCTAGAAGGAGCATTTACATATTGATAAAGAAAATTTTCTTTAACAAATTTGACAAATTCTGCACCATCCTAAACTTTGATACCACAGTAGCCCCAGTCAATGTTTGGAAAATTAAAATCCCCCATTATTACAACTTTATTATGCTTACATATATCTGAGATCTCCCTACATATTTGTTACTCAATTTCCCTATTACTATTGGGTTGCGGAGTGGGTTATAGTACAATCCCATCAAAGTGATCTTTTCTTTCTTATATGTGATTTATACCCATATATTTTCACTGGATGATTTTTCCAAAATATCTTCCCTAGTTACAGCTGTAATGTATTCTTGAATCAAAAATGCCATCCCCCTCCTTTTTTGCCTCCTTTTCTATCCTTCCTATAGCATCTAAAACCTGGAACATTGAGCTGATAGTCTTTCCTTATCTCAGCCAAGTTTCTGTAATACCTATGATGTCCCAATTCTGTGTTCTTAAACATGCCCCAAGTTCATCAGCCTTACCTGTAAGAACCCTTGCATTGATATAAATGCAGTTTAGTTCTTCAGAGTTACTACATACTCTGAGTGTTCTTGTCTTTCTTTACTAATTGATTTGCTCTCCTCACATTCAGAACCTTCCCCATCAATCCTTCTGTTTACACTGCTACTTAGAATTCCTCCACTTCCCCTCTCTATCAGTATAAAGTCTCCCTTAATGGAATGAGAAAATCTCCCTAAGATATTGGTCCCTTTCCAGTTTAGGTTAGACGCACCCTTTTTGAACAGGTCTTTTCTATCCCAAAAGACATTCCAATTGTCCAAAAAACTTGAATCCCTGAACAATAGACCAGCTCTTCAGCCATTGATTTATCTCCTTTAACCTTTTGTTGCTTGCCTTGTTTGACTTTGGCATTGGGATAAACCAGAAATTACTACTTTTAAGGTTCTATTTTTTAATCTTCTACCTAACCTCTTAAATTCAATCTGTACTGTTTTAATATTTTCCCTAAAAATGTCATTCCTACCAACGTGTACAATAGCTTCTGGTTTCTCAATCTCAGCTTTAACAATACGATGGAAACGTTTAGAGACGTCCTTAATCCTAGCACCAGGAAAGCAACAAATCATCCTAAATTTACACTCATTGCTTCAGAATCTCCTGTCTATGCCCCTGACAGGGGAGTCCCCTATAACAATAATTCTATCAAACCATGTCAAACACTGCCTAACATAAGAATCATTCCAAGTTTCCAATAACTGACTTCTTATGGCAGGTCACATAGGAATACAGGAAACACAGGCATTGATAAACAAGTATTTTACATGGCTGAGACTTCATAACGACACAGTGCAATTCTGTAAAACATGTCATCGATGTCAGGTTGTAGGAAAACCTCAACAGCACCACTGGTACACCTACCAGTTTTTGAAGAGCTATTTAGTTGTTTTTTAGTAGATTGTGTAGGAAAATTACAAAAAAAAAAGCAGGTCAAGTCAGATGGTATACAAGACCTTCATAGCCCAATCATCACTATCATTGTATGTGATCTAGCATGAGCATGTCTTTTAAAAGGCGTGTTGATCCCCTGACTATGAGACATAACACAACAAATACCTTTTAAGAATATTTAGTTGGTCTACAAGTTGAATATGATCTTAAGAGGTTTTTATTGTATTTGCCAGTTTTCCAATTGCTGAACATGTACTTCATTGAATTTAAGAAAGCAGATCATCTTTAAAAAGAATTGAAGTACATGGAGAGTAACCAAGTCAGAAATTACAATTTGAATTAGGAGCCATTTCAAAGGTATAAAATAGGGAAGTAGTTCAGAGTAATAAATCACCATCAAATCTATATTCTACAAAGCTGCATATAAAATTCTTCAACTGGAATATTTACAAACAGAAATTTCAATCCCTGTATTGAATAGAATCAAAATGGCACCCATGCAATTTCTGACCTACAGGAATCCTTTCCAAGCTAAAACAGTCTCTTTAAGTTGACATATAGCATAACAAAACAACTTTACCAAGAACGTTTGCTGAGGATTGTAATATTCCTGAGACATCTTCCAGCTCATCTTTGACAGAGTGATCTGCAAAGGGACATCTGTTGGACACTTGTGGATCTCTTTTTAATTCCCTGCAATTGAAACAAAACATGCTATTAAACACTCAGATTAATGAATAAAGTCAGAGTTAAACACTTAAAGAAGAATACCTTGAGTATCACCAAGATTGACCCACAATATTACAGGTTAGAGCTTCAAGACTAATTGGGTAGGCACGTTTTCCGCACTTCATCTTAGGTTTATTACTTAAGGATACTAATGTTAAAATGCATAAATAAACCAGATACTCAGACTATTAACAGTAAAGGTGATGGCACCAGAAAGAAAAAAAGTAAAAGCTAGTAAAACTTGGAAATGACAGTACTGGTCCAAACTAGATTTCCATATTAAGGCATACAAGAGGAGTTTGGTTCAGTTCTGTCATGTCCAAATTTTACTGATTTGTTTCCTTTTTTCACAACTGATGCACATAACAAGCAGGAATGAAGTGAATAGTTCACCAGGGCATCAAACTTTTTTGGCTAGGCAATGCAACTAGACTAATCCAAGTATCATTCCAGATAATTAAAGGCCCCTCTCTATAAAAGGCTATTGTGATATGCACAATTAATTTATCCTTCAACAGAGACATAATGCTGCTTTACAGTCATGGAGCACAGTGCCCCCAAGGATTAGAAATTCCACTAAAGTATTGAATTTGTGTCCTTGCATTCACATAATATTAACTCAATGCCACAAAAGTATATGCAGTGTTGAAACAGAAATATTCCTGATAGTGTTGCACCATAGAAGTGTCTGCTGAAAATTGTCTCCTTTACTTGAATAATTTCACATTTCTTTTTTTGTGATTGAATTTCACAAAAACATCCCAATATTTGTGGAAGTGTGAAGAAACGATATTCAACTTAAGATATAGCACCTAATTCTGCAATGCCACATTTTTTAAAATTATTCATTTTTGTGGGATGTGAGCATTGCTGGCTGGCCATCATTTCTTGCCCATCCCTAGTTGCCCTTGAGAAGGTGGTGGTGAGCTGCCTTCTTGAACCATTGCAGTCCACTTGCTGTGTGTTGACCCACAAAACAATTAGGAACAGAATTTCAGGATTTTGACTCAGCAACAGTGAAGGAACAGGGATATACTTCCAAGTCAGGATGGTGAGTGGCTTGCAGGGGAACTTGAAGGTGGCAATGTTTCCATATTTCTCCTAAGATGGAGATTGTCGTGGATTTGGAAGGTACTGTCCAAGGATCTTTGGTGAATTTCTGCACTGCATCTTGTAGATAGTACACACTGCTGCTACCAAGCATCGATGGTGGAGAGAGTGAATGTTTGTGGATGTAGTGCCAATCAAGCAGGCTGCTTTGTCCTGGATGATGTCAAGCTTCTTGAGTATTGTTGGGGCTGAACTCAACCAGGCAAGTGGGGAGTATTCCATCACATTCCTGACGTGTGCTCTGTAGGTAATGGACAGGCTTTGGGGAGTCAGGAGGTGTGTTACTCTCTGCAATATTCCTAGCCTCAGACCTGCTGTTGTAGCCACTGTGCTTATGTGGTGAATCCAGTTGAGTTTCTGGTCAATGATAAACCCCAGGATGTTGACAGTGGGGGTTTCAGTAATGGTAACACCATTGAACGTCAAGGGATGGTGATTAGATAGTTTCTTATTTGTGATGGTCATAGCCTCGCATTTGTGTGGTATGAAGGTCACTTCCACTTTGTCAGCCCAAGCCTGAATATTGTCCAGATCTTGTCGCATTTGGGCATGGATGCTTCAGTATCTGGGGAGTCATGAATAGTGCAGAATATTGTGCAATCATTGGCGAACATCCCCACTTCTGACCTTATGATGGAGGGAAGGTCAGCTGAAGACGGTAGGTCCTAGGACGCAACCCTGAGGAACTCCTGCAGAGATGTCGTGGAGCTGAGATGACTGACCTCCGACAACCACAACCATCTTCCTATGTGTCAGGTATGACTCCAACCAGTGGAGAGTTTGCCCCCGGATTCCCATTGATTCCAGTTTTGCTAGGGCTCCTTGATGCCACCCTCAGTTGAATGCAGCCTTGATATCAAGGCTGTCACTCTCACCTCACCTCTGAAATTCAGCTCTTTTGTCCATGTTTGAACCAATGCTGTAAGGAAGTCGGGAGCTCAGTGGCCCTGGCCTGGCCATATTAGGAGTCCAAACCACAGTGTGAGGGTGAAATGTTCCCGGTCTGGCAGGGATGTAGGAGTTGGGACCAGAATTCTGAGATCTTCATGGAGGCAGATTATTGCCAGGACAGGCTAGCCACCTAACTGCGCTGGCAAATTTGAATAATTAACTACCTATTTGTAGGAAGATTAGGTACATGGTTCTCCATTAAGGATCATACCTGGTAGGAGCCTGATAGCATCTACTGGGCAGCCAGTAAGGACGTACCAAAAAGGCCTTTTATTTTCACCCTCCACTGGACAAGGATTGATCAGTGGGCCATCGTTCCAGCCAGAGGCCATTCTGTAGAATCATGTTCCTTCCATGGGAATGAGCTGGCAACCATGGCCACTCTTTATTTAATTATATTCAAAACCTTTTCAGAGGAAACCTCATGATAGAGGCACCTCAAGATAAAGACACCTCATGTTCTCCATCCTGCAGAGGAAACACCCATTAGTGTTGCTGGAGCTTCCATCCTTCCAAGGTTGGAACCTTCTGTCACGTAGAGTTTCGAATGGCTTTGGAAAAGTACAGCAAAATTAAGTTATTAGAAAAATGTGAAGCCATCGAGTTAAGGAGGCAGTGGTTTTAAGGATACAAATTTGAATTAGGGAAAGATAGTAGGGAGTAGTAGTCAATGGTTGTGTTATTTGAAGGGAGGCAAGTGATATTAGACCGAGGTTGGTATATAGATCAATAGCCCTTTTAGATTATTAACAACCTAGACATGAGTACACACCAGCCAATTTCAAATTTAAAGATTTGGGGTAACTTGTGATCTGTGTGAAATTTAATGTTACACTATCATTTTCTAGACATCATGTTTTCTTATTTCACTGATTTGTAATTAAATAAAACTTCAGTTATGTTTCTCCACATATCATTTGTTAACTTTGGAAAATATTTTCCCAGGAAGGGAGAAGCATTTTGGTTTATGTGGAAGATAAATCTGCAAAAGTGACATCTGATCAGGACTGTGTTCATCCAGCTCTACACCTTGTTACCCCATTACCCATACTCTTTCTGCTTTCATCTGTTTCAATAAGATGCTTCTTCTAACTTCCAATGTTAGAATCCCAATTTACTCAGTCTTTCACCACAGGAAAACCCTTTCATCCCATCAGTCAAATAAACTTTTACTGCAATACCTTTAAAGGTAAATTTATCCATTCCTGGGAAGGCACAGTTCAATTATGGTCTCATCAAAATTCTATATAGTCGTAGCAAAATTTCCTTGTTCTTGTATTCTAGTCACATCGCAACAAAAACCAAGGTGTCAGATGCCTTCCTAATTGCTTGCTGTACTGCATGTCAGCTTTAAAAAAAATGAGTATGGATAAATGGTGTCTTTTCAAATTGGCAGCCTTTAGGAAATGGATCACTGTTGTGGCTTCAGCTAATTACAATTATATTAATGACTTTGATGAAAGACAAAGGGTAATACAAGCAAGTTTGCTGAAGGCACAAAGGACAGAAGAATACAGCTTTAAGCTTCTTGTAAGAGTACATAAAGGAACTGAAAGATACTGGAAGATTTCATGTATTTTAAAAAATACTGTGTTCTCTTTGAATCTCTAAAGTGAATAACCTCAGACATTAATATGTTGTATTCTATCTGATACCGAGTTACCAACTCAATGTTTATATCTCATTTATATTCTCCTGTCCTTTGTGCCTTCAGGAAACTTGCTTGTATTTTCCCTTGTCTTTCATCTAAGTCATTAATATAGATTACAATTAGTTGAAGGCACAGCAATGATCCATTTCTTAAAGGCTGCCAATTTGAAAAGGCGCCATTTATCCATACTCTTTTTTTATTTGTCCATTAACCAATAAAGTAAATGTTGGTCCCTGAGGGGACAGTGACAGGAAAAACTATTGTGGGGAATGATGAATTGGCAGAGATATTGAACAAATGTTTTGTGTTTGCTTTCACAGAAGATAAATTACATAGAGAGAGTAACCTTAGTGGCCAATAAAAGCTAGAAACTAAAAAATATTTAATATCATTCGTTAAAAAAATACTAGACAAATTGTAGAGACTAAAAACTGACAAGTTCCCAGGACCTGATGACCTATATTCTATGTTCTAAAACAGATGACTCCAGAGATAACAGATGCACTGGTTATGAACTTCCAAAATTCTTAGATTCCACAGACAGTCCCAGTAGATTTGATGTCAGCAAATTTGACACTGCTTTGCATGAAAGGGGGAGAAGAAGAGCTATGAAGTACAGCCCAGCTAGCTTGACACCAGTAATCAGGAAATGCTGAAATCTATCATAAAGGAAGTCTTAACAATACAATTAAATCATTGGGCTGAACTTTACACATACAGTGGGGTAAGTGAGATGGAACCAGAAATGTGCAGGTCACTCAATCCCGGGTTTGGTGTTTCATCATGGTGAACCAAGTGAGTTCCAGTCAGTTAGCGGTTGAATGGGAAGGCAGCCCTGATTTAACAGGAGCTCTATGCCCAATTGGGCCTTTTGGGTAGAAGAAGGATTAGTCCATGAAATGAAGTCCTTAGCGGCAACTGCAGGAGAAGTCACTTATGTGAGGATAACTGCATTGAAAGATGACCATTTTTGCCATTGAAACATTGGAGCAGCAGTGGGTAAGAGGATGTTTTTCCATTTTGGTGCTATTGTGCCAGCATTATCTCAATCATGGGCTTAGGTGGAGGCAGTGGTGTTGTGGTCATGTCATTATTCTGGTAATCTACAGCTCTAGTCTAATGTTCTGTGAGCATGGTTTCAAATCCCACCATGGCAGATGGTGAAATTTGAATTCAATAAAATTTAGAATTATAGCAGGAACAATCATCTCTTATCAACTGTCAAGAAACACATCTGGTTCACTAATGTCCTTCAGATAAGTAAATTTGACTGTCCTTACCTGGTCTGGCCTACAGTTGATTCCCTGCGATGTGACTGACTTTTAACTTCCATCTGAAATGGCCTAGCAAATCCGTCAATTCACAGCAATTAGAAATAGACTTGCCAGTCCCACATCCCGTGAATAAAGAGGAATATAAATTATCCTTGCCGAGAAAGAATGAATATTTGAGCCCAATCCCTTCTGAATAAGAAGTTTTCATAAAAATACTCATCTACTACCCTTTAACTTTATCTCTCCACCAATTCTTGAGTCAACCAGATGATTTCCAGCATTATCATATCTCTCGTCTGCCAGGAATAACGATGGCAGGATAATTAGACAGTGCTAGTCCAAACTCCAACCCACAGTTTAATTACAATTCTCTGTGAATCTTTCTCCAGAACATAAGTGAATGGCAGCAGGTTATATCAAGGGATGACAAAAGGAAACCTCTCAGCCAGATGAAGAGGCCTGGATGTGGGTAACAGAGGAGCTCAGCAGCCATGGGGTCATCTGGTTGAGGGCCATTAAGAAGCTGAATAGCTGAATAACCTTTTGGTAGTGGCAAGGAAAAATTTACAACCATTTTGAGAGTATGTGAGGACTTTGTGTGCAACAAATGTCTGTGTCATGTGCAGATGGCAATATGAAGCAGACATGCCAAACTGCATGATACTGCAAGATTTTGGAGCACCCATGGGGGTATCTGAAGTGCAAGGCCTCTTAGTTTATAAAGGATTATTGAGAGGTATTGGTCATTGAAAACAGACGTGTTGAGTACACAAATTAAAGCCTTACTTAACAGAAGATTCAGGACATTCGTCCTTTTACATTGCAGGAAAAGAGGCCATATAATCCTGGTTAGAAGTCAAGGACTGGATCAAGACCTGGTCATTTTAACTCTTCTGGAGCAGGCTTGCAGTTTACCAGCAGCCAACAGTTTGTGCACACATAGGGTGGCCACTAAAACAATTGGAACTAATTTCTGCTGCCAGCATTTCACAGAGGGATATAAATGTCTCCCTGGAATGATGTCTGTGAAGATACCAACTCGCTAACATCTGCAGGTAGGTCACCATGGGGAGGATAGTGTCTTCTCTTACATTTGCCAGCCTGCTATCATCATTTCTCCTCTGTTAGGGCCTTGCGTAGCAGTAGGTCCCTCAAATTCCTGACCAGTGGTTGTTACTTTTCATGGATAGCTGCCTTCCTCTGTCTCCTTCTCCCTAGGATAAGCCTCTAACTGAGTGAGCAATCATTATGGGGAAGAACAAGTTCCTGATCCTATAGTGGAGTGCTTAAACTTCACTGCAACACTGTCTTTTCCTTCTCAATCTCTGTTCATGGCTGGTTCAAAGCAATTAAATGAAGTGAAAATACTGACAAATGTTATCACCTTCACCAGCAGAAACTGCTGCTAAATGTAGCCATAGACCTACTGACAGCCTCCACCACATCCTCATATCTATTATGACTCACTCTCAAGCAAGCTTTTGCTAGATGCATAGGAAACAACAGAGTGGAACACATAATATTAGAGCCAATTGCGTCAATAACAAGCTTGAATTGTTCTTTAATTAGTTATTTTTTTTAAATGGTAGGCAGACGTCAGATGTTGCTACCACACATTCCTTATGTTCTTGGAGACCTGCCTACCTGACGCCATCACTTCAAAAATATTCATCCAAGCAGCATGCCTAATTTTGGAATGTAAAATTGTATGATTAGACAAGGTCACCATAGCTTTATGAAAGCAAACAATAAGGATGACATCTGGCATGATACCCATTAATGTAAGGTGATTGGAATGTGAGAAATAGAAGAACTATAGTTGTATAGAAACTTCATAAGATCATACCTGGCATACTGTGCAGTTTGAGTGTTCATATCAAAGAAAGTATATATTTGCCTCAGAGATGGCACAGTGAAGGTTCTTTAGACTGTTTCATGTGATTAGAGGGTTATCCTATAATACAAGGCTGAGTAAATTAGAATCATGCACTCTGAAGTAGATGAAAGGGGATGTCTCACCTGGTGGAGGAATCTACATGATACTGTACATTCTCAGGATAATTGGCTAATAATTTAGAACAAAGATGAGGAAATATTTCTTGAGTAAGAGCTATGAGAATGGGAATGATCTAATACATAGGAATACAGATTCTCTGTGTTTGTATGTTCACATTCTCTGAGAATAAAAGGATAAAGTGGGCAGATGGGAAAATGGAGATTAGAATGTGGACCAGCACAATTATGCTGAATGGTGAAGCAGGCTTGAGAGAAATAGGAGTGGGGAAATTAGGTCTGGTTTTGGGTAACTGGGGCATGTCCAAAAGTGGGTGTAGTGTCTGGTCTAGTGGCGGGCTCTGGGGTGGAGGCCAAGTCCAGTGGTAGGGACAGCAGGAACTGCAGATGCTGG